AAAAAAATCAAATCAAATAAAAATTCTGTGCCATCAGTAGGTTACCGGCGCTGGGGCCACCCCAGGTGGAAATAGGTTTTGTCCTTGGCCTGTTCCCCCTGGCAGCTTGGTGGCTGCCATCCTCCAGAGGCCATTGGACAGTCAGGTTTGGGCCCGCAGTGAGGAGACACATGGGCCTCAGGGGATGGAGGTGGAGCTGGCCCTTTCCTCCCTGCCCCAATGAGACCCTGGATCGCCTCCCATGAAAGGCCTCTCTGGCTCCTGATCAAGCTGCTTAATGGTCATGATCCCAGAGACTCAGGATCAAATCTCGGAACCCATCAGGTTTTGGCAGAAATCCCTCCAGATTTTATTGTTAAAATTGCGGAATTCCAAAATTGTGCGGCCATTACTGTGACAGCATGACATTATATGTTATTCATAACCAGCAATAGAAAACAAATTGTCTATGGTTGCCTTTTCGGCAGATCTGAGTGTTGGGGTAAAATCCCAAATAATAATGGTGGGTCTGGTGTTGAAATATTGAATGTAATCAAAGTAGAAACAGAGTAATGTGGAAATCATCTGCCCCGCAGGTAGGGGAAGGGTGTGGGATGGGGGATATACTGGAGTTTTTAATGGTGGAAAATGGGCACTGGTGAAGGGATGAGTGTTTCATCATTGAAAGAGACTTAAACCCGAAAGCTTTGTAACTGCTCTCATGGTGATTCAATAAATAAATTTATAAAAAAAGGAAAAAAATTCTGTGCCGGGCTGGAGCAGTGACACAGCAGGTAGGGCGTTTGCCTTGCATGCGGCCGACCTGGGTTCAATTCCCAGCTTCCCATATGGTCCCCCGAGCACTGCCAGGAGTAATTCCTGAGTGTAGAGCCAGGAGTAACCTGAGCACCATGAAGACTGACCCTTGAGCACAGAGCCAAGAGTAAACCCTGAGCATCTATGGGTGTGGCCCAGTGGTGCCTGGAGAGCTGGGAGATAGAGTAGGGAGTTAGAGCACATGCCTTGCATATGGCTGCCATGATCCCCAGTACTACATGGTCTCCAGAGCACTGACTGGCCAGAGTAGCACCACATCCTCGCTCTGTGCTGCCTCCCAGTTGGCCAGGTATCTCCACTGAGCACCACTTGGGAGACCTCAGCCAACAAAAGCAAGATTTTAAAAATAGGCTTTTGTAATTTTTACTGATAATACTAAACTACTTTCACTAAAGTTTTTACTAATTTGCATTCCTATAAGCAAGCTATGGGTTACTCACAGTTTTGACATCAGAGTTGAAAATACGTATCTTAAAATTTAGGTCTATTTGATAAAGCATTTGTATTTTGGTCCGTCCAGTTATCCAATGTGGTAAGATGTTGTAGATTTCTTGCTATGATTAAAAGTAATTAACTTTGCATGTCATATATGTATATGTGTATTTATATTTATGTATATATACATATATGATATGTATATATGTATATATGTATATATATATATATTGCTGGAGCAATAGCACAGCGGTAGGGCTTTCGCCTTACAAGCAGCCAACATGGCCGACCCGAGTTCGATTCCTCCGCCCCTCTCGGAGAGCCTGGCAAGCTACCAAGAGTATTCGATATGCCAGACACAGTAACAACAAAGTCTCCAATGGAGACGTTACTGGGCCCGCTCGAGCAAATCGATGATCAACGGGAGGGCAGGTGATGCTGATGCTATGGCTAGTGAAACAGGAAATCACTTGTTCAGAGAACACTCAGAGAACACTATACATATATGAGATATTTTTATTTTGTTAGTTTGAAAATACAAATATGTGTATATGAAAGATTTGTATTTCCTTAAATAAAAATTTCCCACTTTTCCCTTGGCCTAGGTCTTTTTCTTATACATCTTTAGGAGATATTAGGGAGGGAAGAGCTTTTCTGTGATAGAAATTAAACACGATTTTTCCTATTTTTTTTTGACATTTTTCCTTTCTTCCCTTCCTTTCCCTCTATGATGTTGTGATGCCCGGGGCTCACACACACATGTGTGGGAGTGAACCTCGCACCCCAGGCTGTGTTGGTACCCTAATTGCTGTGCTTGCCAGAGGTTGCGCTCCATTCCTTCGCTTGTGGTGCTCACACAGGTGCCCTGAGGGGTCACACTCCTGAATGTGGACACGGTGCTTATGTACATTTTAGATGTAGTGCTGGTGCATTTGTTGAGTTGCAGTATTATCCAAGGATATCTTTTCACTGTGCTCTGTCATTTTGGTTTGCATTGTGGTCTCTGATGCATCTGGCTGTGGCGTGCATAGAAGTTGCCTGTGTGCTGAGAATCACAGACAGCCAAGCTGCAAATGTCATGCTCTGCATATGCGGGTGGCATCAGGGCTTGGCATCAGCTTCCTGCCTGCTGGGCAGGTACTTTCATCACAGAACCATCTCCTAGCCCCTGATGGCACTTTTTCTTCTGGATTTCCATGTGATTAAATTAATTAGTCTTCTCTTATGTCTTAAGGGATTTTAGGTTAAAGATAGGAAGGCCTTTTCTGCCCCAAGGTTATAAAAGTACTAGATTAAAAAAAAACTACCAATTTCATCATCTAATTCTTCATGGTTCTGTTTTTCTTATTTAAACCGTTCATCTAAGTGGTTTATATTGCCTCATAGTATAGTGTTTGGCTTCACACTTTTTTCAGTTTGTTATCCAGCTTTATGACATTTACTGAATAACTGATAGTTTATTCAGTGCCCTGATTTATATGCAACTTTTGCATGTTTCTTTTATATGTGCGTGTACATTTGTATGTGCACATGAGCATATTTTTAAAAGATATTTTAGAATGCTAGAAGAAATTCTAAATTTTTCTCCTGCAAATGTAGAGGATTTTGACCCGAGTTCGATTCCTCCGCCCCTCTCGGAGAGCCCGGCAAGCTACCGAGAGTATTCGATATGCCAGACACAGTAACAACAAAGTCTCCAATGGAGACGTTACTGGGCCCGCTCGAGCAAATCGACGATCAACGGGAGGGCCTTTACCTTTACCTTACACTATGAAGTTAACCACTTCAGACATTTTAAGTGTAAAGTTTGATGACATTAAGTACATTTTCCTTGTGCCATCGTTATTACCTTCCCTTTCCAGAATAAGTTTATCTTCCCGCTATAAGATTTTGAACCAAACACACCATTCATTTTTATGATTTACCACCCATTTCTAAGGTAGAGGATAATTTTTAAAATGTTTTAAAATGTGGGAGAGTGTCTCTTAGTACTGAAGAAATACAGTTCCAGTTTCCCAGATGTATTCACTGTATTCTTTGCTGGTTCTGTTCTGCTAGTGTCTCTTTGTGTGCAAGTTGTCATGCTGCTTTAATACTTAAATAGTTAGAATGTCTTGTTTGTTTGGGGGCCAGATAGAGAGGAGCTCAGAGACTCCTCTAGCGAGGTGCTTGAGGGTTCCTCAGTGGGGAAACATATTGCCAGGAATGGAAGCCAGGCCTCTTGAGCCATCCCTCAGCTTTCAATAGTCATGTTATGTTCTCTTCATTGGCCTTCTGTTTCAGAATTACTGCCCCTGCATCAACTCTTTTTTTGTCCATTTCTCAAAGTAAACTTGGCAGTTTCTTTCCTAAAGATCTTCTTTTTTTGTTACTAAATTTATTTTTTTATTTTGAATACCCATCCCTCCACCAGTAACCATTTCCCACCACCACCGATCCCAGTAACCCTCCCACCCCCCATTCCATCCCCATCCCAACCTTGCCTCTGTGGCAGGGCATTTCCTTTTGTTCTCTCTTTCCTATTGGGTGTTGTGGTTTGTAAAAGAGTTAAGCCTGATTTTCAGGGAGAAACGTTGGAGAATTTACTTTCCATTGACTGCTTTATATATAAGGAGATGTCGCGCGGCCACATAAGCGGCCGCGCGGTTTGAAGTAAGAGTCCTGGTTCCTGCATAAGCGAGCTATGCTTGTAGAGGCTCATGGTCACTGGGGTTCCCTCTGGAGAAGGCGGGATGCGGCACCTACCCTATCTGGGACTTCCCGGTGATCTCGGCTCTCTTCGGGACCTGGAGCATTCTCCGGGAGCTGTGGAAGCTCCCCCCGCGGCCTTTCTTCTCTGCTGCTGTGTGCTGTAAAGATGGCGCTGGAGGGCAGGTTGTGGGCATGACTTCCGGAATCAGAGGTTACCTGGGTTCCGGGGCAGTCCTAGCAATTTGGCATGAGAGTCCTGGTTCCTGCATAAGCAAGCTATGCTTGTAGAGGCTCATGGTCACCGGGGTTTCCTCTGGAGGAGGCGAAGATCTTCTTTACTTCTAGAAATCTTCACTTCCACATCCTTTTTACCTAAATTATAAAAATTTTTTACTTGTTATTTTTGTTTTTGTTTTTGAGCCTCATCTGGCTGTGTTCAGGACTCATTCCTGGCTCTACACTTAGGGATCATTCCTGGTGGTGCTCGGGGGACCATATGAGTTAGTGGAGATTTAACCTGGGTTCACTGCATACAAGGCAAGCGCCTCACCAGCTCTATTATCTCTACAGCTTCAAATGCAATTGCTGAAAACTGGGATTAAAATTTGCAGGTGGATGACCTTCCTAGGTTTGAAGTTCTCTTAGTCTCGGATCATAGCAGCTTCTCTGAAAGATTGTGTAACTTCTTGCCTTTATTCTTCTGCGTTTGTTACCTCAGCATTGCTGTGAGAGATTTGGTCCACTTCTGAATGGTTTACATGAAAAGGAATTGCACCATGAAAGTACTTCGATTTCGTCCCTCCTTTTGTATCTGCTTATAGATGTAGTCTTTTTCAGCAAAGTAAGCAGTGTCCTTATGATGATCACCCTTAAATGTTTGCAACTGCAACAGGATGTAATGTGGTTCACTAATGCATTTACCCCAGTAAAGCTTGTTGTTTTGCCAGTTATTCCTATTAAATTTTTAAAATTTTAAACATTGTATCACTAGGACCTTGGCTTTATTTGCATTTATAGATCATAAACGCATTCCTTTTGTTTGTTTTTTTTTTCTGAAGAATCCAGTAAACCCCGTGGAAAATGGCCTTCAGTGAGTTTACATCTAGGACGGTGCTTCTCTATGATAATTGGATCAAAGATGCTGGTAAGTAACCGGATTTCCCAATAGAGACTCATTCTTCCTATTTATGTCAGAATCACATAGTTAATAGGATTTCATTGAAACAGAATGAGAGGCTTTGCAGTCTTCCCCTTTGTCACAGATAGCACAAGTATTGATTTTTTATTACTAATTGATAATGAAGAGTTGGTGTTTCATTTGAGATCTGTACAAAGATAGTGCTAAACAGAAGTCCATTGCAATGTTTGTGATTAGCTTTAATGTCCAGTGAAAGGAATTGGTTCATGGATGATGGTATCTTCCTACTTCATAACTCTTAAAAGTATTTCAGAGGGACCTCGCTCTTAGGCTTGATTCTACGCTAATGCTCTTAAGGGAAATGAGTTAGCTGTCTGCACCATGATCTTGAATAACACAGACATCATTCTTTCGGCTATGTGAGGGAGGGCTGAGTCAGAGGAGTGGGGGGAGTGTTTCTCAGACACTCCACAGTAGTTGTAAAATACCTGCTTTCTCCTTTTGCCTATCTTAAAATAAAACATTTAATGCCAAGACATTTGAAATATATTAAATGAAAGAAGATCATAAAATAAAATATTTCTTTTGTGAGGGTTTGTAGTTGTTGCTGTGTAGTAGGAATATGGGTAATTTCTCTTTATGTATCTACATCTGTCTGTTTATTTTTCAAGTCACCAAATGTATGTTGCTTTTTAAAAATAAATCACACACATATGGGCCAGGCAGATGGTGCGACGTGGCAGAGCCCTTACCTAGCATGTGTAAGACTCCAAGTTTGACCCCAAGCATTTATATAACACCCAGAGCACTATTGGAAAGAGTAACTCTGGTGCCTTACAAGCAGCAGACTTGTAAGTCAAGCAGCACCTGGAGTGCCTTAGCACCCAGCTCTAGGTATGGTTCTGGGGGGGATAGAACCTAAGGGCCAGAAAGATAACACAGGGGTTAAGGAACATGTCTTGTATATTGCCAACCCTGGTTTAATCCCTGGTACCACATGGTTTCTCAAGCTTCTCTCAGTGGCAGTCCTGAAGGCACCTATACACAGCTGAATTGGCCCAAGCAGCATCAGGTCCGAGGTCTTTGCACTGGACCACTAGGCATTTGACTGAGACTTACTGGGAGGGACTCTGGGCACCCTGAATATCAAGTAGGTGGTTGAGGAAAATACCTTAATAGGAAGAAAAATCACTGAAAAGTACGTTAACTATTACAAAACATTTAAAAATATAAAAGACATTTTAAAAATCTAAGACAAAGAATTAGAACTTTTAAAAAGTCAAGATATCATCAGCACTAACGTCTCAGTTTATAGCTAAGAAAACTGAGGCCCAGAGTTGTGTGTTCCCCACCATGACCACTTCATATGAGTTCTAGTCACCCAGAAGAGCATGCACATCGAATTGGGGAGGAAAACATGCCTCCTCTTGGCAACTGCCACACAGGAACTGTGTTTCATCTACTCAGATTAAAGCAACGATATGTTGGTTCTGTGATGTCATTTTTGTCAATAGATGGTTGAAGACAGTTTTATTTTACTAAGAAATGTTCAAACAGCTCTGGAAAGAAAGATGGCGACCGCATGGGAGCCTGGTAGAGAGCAGGTCTGAGCCGGGGGTGGGGGCGCGACTGAAACCTCATGGGACGGGGGGCGCTCCAGCCCGTCCTTTACACCCGACCGAGGTCACCAGTTGCCCCCCACGAGCGGCTCTCCGGCACGGCCACGGCCCCAGAAGCACAGAGACCAATCTCTTAATTATCTGACTCTCAGTAGAAATACTTGCAGGGTTAATAAATAAAATAGCAGAAATCCAAAACCGTGCGGCCACTATTGCGGCCACGCGACATCATTTAATTCTTGAACCCAGCTGTAGAAAGCAGATCACTTCACAATGCTTTTTCAGCATGGCTGAGTTTGGGGGGGTGGGTAAAGTCTAAATAATAATGGTGCAACTTTTATCAAAACAATGAAGCTAGTCAAAGTAGACAGAGTGTTAACTAGAATTCATCTACCCCACAGACATGGGGGGGGGTTGGGGAGGTTTATTGGGGTTCTTCGTGGTGAAAAATAAGTATTGGTAAAGGGAATTGTGATTGATATTTGCATGACTGAGACCTAAACTTGAAAGCTTTGTAATTTTTCCCACAGCGATTCAATAAATAATTTTTTTTTCATTTCATTTCATCATCCTGTTATTCGTCGATTGCCTCGAGCAGGCCCCAGTAACGTCTCTTTCATCCTAGCCCTGAGATTATATTCAAGGCTATTTAGGAGAATGAGACCCGTCACTGTTACTGGTATCTGGCATATTTGGTAGGCCACGGGGAGTTTGCCAGACTCTGCCCTGTGGGCAGGCTACATTCGATAGCCTGCAAGTTTGTCCAAAGTAGTAATGAGACAATAAGATGTCATAAAAAAAAGTTCTGATAAGATGTCGCGCGGCCGCAAATGCGGCCACGCGCTTCCGGGATCTGAATTTTATAGTCTCTGAGTCTTGGCCGCTGATGGGATTACACGGCACCAGGGGGCCAGGTGGTGGGTGTGACCCCCGCCTACTGGAATTTGGAGTATCTGGGTGGAAGATGCTCGACTCCAATTCGAGTAGGCTTGGAGGTCTCGGCCCCGGAACCTGCGTGGCTTTGTCCCTCTGCCAGTACCTTCATGTGTGCGGAGAGTGGTCTCAGCATGGTGGTGGCTGGTCCTGGAGGTCTTTGGCTGCCGGAGCCCTGGTCGGGGCGGGGAGGAAAGCTCAACCCGCTCCCCTCCAAGGGGCTCCGGGAAGGAACAAATAAATAAATAAATAAATAAATAAATAAATTTTAAAAAAAAGAAATGTTCAAACAGTTTTGCCCCTGAAGAATGCCAAGGACCTCTTTTAATATCTCATTCATATAGACTTCATTCTGATAAGTGAAATGGAGAGTGACTATTTTCTTATCATCTTTATATATTGTGTAGAGAACACATTTCTTTGGAGACCATATTTCTCTGATGTTTTAGAATAGAATTTTCTTATAAATTGAATGTTTATATAATTACTAATATTTTAATTGATTTTCAAAGCAGAGGAGCACTTGTTATCTAAACTATTTAATTTGGGAACACAGTAGATTTTGGTAACATTTTCTTAAATTTTCTTTTTATTTAGAGAATTTGGAAGGAACCCACACCTAGGGCTGCTCAGTACTACTCCTAACTCAGTGCTTGAGGTGGTGTTCAGGGATCAAACTTGGGCTCCCACAGACAAAGTATGTACTCCAGCCCATTGAGCCATGGATATCATTTTTCCAATAGACCTGTTTAGAAGAACAAGTCATTTGCAATTCAACTCCTGCTGTTTCCTGCCTTAAATGCAGGAACACAAGAGATTCGGGTAATCAATATCCCAATGCAAAAGCCAAATGGATTTTATAATGCATATTTATGGCCAAAAGTATTAAATGTTTTGCTTTTAAAAGAATCATTTTAGAATTCTACTTCCAGTTTATGCATGTTTGAAAAGCTGAGTCAGGAAAATGGAAAGACAGAGAGCAGTAGGTTGTTAGGAAGAGGCAGAGAGAGCCCTGGAAATGGTTGTAAACAGCACAGGGGGAAGAGAGGAAGAGGATGACCTGAGGAGAACGTGTTTGGGGATGTGGAAAGAGAAGACTTTGATTTAAGTTCTGACACTGCTGTAGAGTAGTTGAGTCATTTTGAGTAAATTAACATCAGTGATTCTCAGTTTCTTGATGAGGAAAACAAAGGGGATATTAGTACCTACCAGCTCAGCCACTGATAATTTGCATTAAAGTGACTGTGTTTGGGGAAACAGCTCAACACAAATGGTGGTGGTATGATAATGAATTTTCATAAAGTGCTTTTTATATATCACTTTTCTTCTTATTGGAGTCATGGAGGGTTACCATGTTTTAAATTGAGAGTACAACTTTCTGACACTATTGTCAAGTATAACCAAGGAGTTTTTGCTTTAGCTTATTGTGATAGTAATCTCTGAGAGCATCAGGAATAGATTCTGGTAATCTTAATCCAGTTCTATTTTATTTTACTTGCACAGTTTGGTTTTGGGGCCACACCCAGTGGTACTCAGGGATTACTCCTCACTCTGCACTCAGGAATCACTCCGGACAGGGTTTGGGGGACCATGTGTGTTACCAGAGATTCATCTTAATTCACTTTTACTATGTTTAATTTGGAGAGTAGTATGATCAAGGGCCAAGAATTTCAAGTGTGTTCTTGGCTTTGATCTTAATTTTGAGTGCCTTAGGGAATCTCAATGATACATACTGTTTTTTTTATTGCTAGAGAGGTGGTGATGAATAGTTATTTCACCTTGAAAATTCCCAAGCTACCAAATTTAAAATGTTGGAAGTAAATACTTAAGCTGTAAGAGGGATGTCATCTTGCATGTTTTAGGCCCTGAGTTCCATCTTTGGCACCACAAAAAATATATTAAACAAAAAAACATAGCCCATGAAAATAAAGCTATAAGGGGTATTATTATTGGCTCCCAGATAAGAAATATTTGATTTTTAAATAATACTATAATATAACATTGGACTATGAGAAATGAAGGTATTTTAATGTATAAAAAGCAATTTTGGGGGCCTGAGTAACAATACAGCAGGTAGGGTGTTTGCCTTGCATGCAGCCGTCCCCAGATTCGATCCCCAGCATCTTATATGGGTCCCCCAACCCAGCAGGAGTGATCCCTGAGCACAGAGCCAGGAGTAAACCCTGAGCACTGCCAGATATGACCTCTCTCCTCAAAAAGCAACTTCCCCTGTATTTGGATAATAATTATGATTTTATAATTTAGTTGAGATCTTTTTGTTATTGTTGTTGGAGTATAAGGTTTTTGCTGTTCCCAAACCTAGAGGTACATGCTTGCTTTTCATTTCAGCTTCTTCTTATTGGAATTTGGCATGTACTCTGAGTTAGTACATGCTGCAAGTTGGTGGAAAGGAAAGCTCATTAATATTCTACATGCTTATACTTCTCTACTCTC